CTTAGAAGCGGGAGGGAAATGAAGTGTAGCTCGAGTTAATTCAACGATAGAAGAAATCATTTGGTGAAGTTTGACTTTCCGCCGAGATGTCACTTGTGCTCGGGTGTTCGGGAACTCACTCAGCTACTTACTGCCTACTGCACACTCCATCACTTACTGCCTCGGCGCTCGAATCGAAAGATGAAAGAAATTCTTTTCCTGCTGTATTTCCTTTTCCTGTTTGACTTGACGCAAGAAAGATATAATGATTTGTTGCAATCGGGGCGGCGGTAGAGTATCCTGATGATCCTGAATACGAGTATCCTGATAGTCCTAGACTCGCAACCAACTACGCTTCGGTATGAGCAAGTGCTTTATTAATGGGGTAAAGAATAGGCTAAAGTATGTAGTGGGTAAAGAATAGGCTAAAGTGAGTTTAGAAGCGGCTCTTCCATAAGGGATAGATCTAGTGCATATAGTAATGGAATGGGGCCAAGCAACTAGACAAGTCACGACTACAAACACAGATGATACAGGGGATGCAACTAATTCCACTTCACTCAAACAGGCTCTTTTCACTCATTAGTGACTTTCTTTCCTTCCCGCCTCAAAGCCTTTACTTGAGTCTTTCCCAGAACTGCTAGGGAGTCCTTTCTTCTCCAAACTGGGAATCCAAGTAATGCTATTATACTGAAACACGACACCCGGGCTTAAACAACCCATTACCGAGCGAGAATCTCATAAATAGAGGAATGACACTACTAAGAACAACCTCGAAAGTGAGAATCGGACCACTGCTTCTGTGCCTCCACTCCCTTGAGCCTAGTCAGCCCTGCCCTACTTTGATTCTTTAGCTACCGATACGATCCTATATTGCATTCTTTGACTCCTAACTCTAACTATGACACTACGCTCTCCTATTCTTTGATCACCATCTATGAAACTGCCCCTCTCGACTTTCATCCTCTAACAGCTGGTCCGGATCCTAGCTTATTATTCTTAGGATTGAGTTGAGTCTACCTCGCCTGTTTTTTATCCTGACTTCTTTGTTGAAAACTTCCCCTGCTGACCTCAATGCCGAGTTTGTCTATTCCTCTCCTCTTGCCAAGCCTGCCTCCCTTGTGCACCTAATCTGGCTTGTTAGTTATGGAATCCAACACCCCATAACAAGTGATAACAATACTACTTAGCCGCCCGGAATTATACTCGAAATACAGAATGAAAACACTATAGAAAGCTACCCCATAAGAGGAAGAACTAAGGGCAAAAAACGAAGTAAGCGCTACACTTATATTAGAATAAGCTTGTTGCTCTCTTCCTAATACCCAACTTATGGAGCCTATCATCAACGCTCTCTTCCTAATACCTAACTTATGGAGCTGAACCCGACCCGACGCCTTAAATCTCATAATTCTAATATGGGAACACTCTGGTTATAGAATCGAATCCATTTATTTCCCTTCACCGACCTAAGCTCAGCTAAGGGATAGCTGCCGCCGATATTCATATAACAAGTATAGTTAGAGTAAGCAGTCTGTAGGTTTGTTACAAGATTCTATAATAAGGTGGTGCACTAAATGGAAATTAATGAGTTGCGCAAGAAGGAATGATTCTCGTGTCCAACTCATAGGAATCAACCCACCCACACTTTTCGAATTGATCATTTGGGTAGTAGCACAGGAATGAACCCCACACTTAATAATTTCCCGACCTCGACTAATTGAGTAAAAGAATGAATCTAGCAATTAAGGCTTACCTCACTAACTGGGGACCACTGCTTATAGGACGACTAAAACATAGAACTCCGGTACGCTCTCACGCATAAGGCTTTAACTCATTATTAAGAAATTGGGAACAGGAAATGGAACTACTTATTATTCGAATGAAACCACAACTCGTCAGGTGTAATAGGTGCCTAGTTAGACTTCAACTCAGAATTAACGTCGTAGCCTAAGAGTCAACCCCGGGCATAAGACAACAGTAGAGTATGCATTTAGAAGACGACAACTAGTATGCAGAGTAGCGGTATTCGGTATTAGAATGAAACCAAAAAGCAACAGGATGAAATTCAGAAGTCAGAATGAAGGGAACAAGTAGTAGAATTCACCCACCGAACACACACACACCTTTCAGAATTCACCTCGGCATCAGGATCCTTGCTTTTTGTGACTGAAACTTCAATTACTTACTTGTTTTCTGACTTGTTCGGACAGGGCTCCTTACTTGGCTATTCACTCTTCAACTCCCCCACGACCTCCACTCCAATCTTATTCCTATATCCGACCTCCAATCTTATTCCTGTACTAAGCATTAAACCAATGACTTCAAGCCGTCACGGCCAGGGCCAGACCAATAGGGAGCCTTAAAATACTTGCTTTCAACCTAGCATTCCGGAATCCAATTATTATGTGTACTTATGATTCTTCCACTCCTTTAACTATATTACTCCTGCCGATGAGGCTTACCTAGGACTTCCCCGGGTAAAGTCTTTCTCTCTTTAGAATGCTTTAATTATTATACTTGCTCCTTCCACTCTGTATTTCACCTATGATTCTTAGGCCCCAGGTTCCTTCTTATTCGTGCCCCCGATGTCCGAGTCCTCCGTTTATACTAGTAATTCAGTAGTTCCTATTTCATTCTTTAATCAAATCTCAGATGTTGTAATTATGACCAGTGCTCTTCTCAGGCTTTTTAATGGAATGACACTAATGCCTCGCCTCTTGCTCTACGCATCCAACAGCATACCTTTAGCCTACCTTGACTCTAACTCTCAGCACTTATGGCATCAAAGCCGATACTTGATTCTTCAAATGAGAAGAAGAAATTCCATGCATCAATTCCAGGCCTTGAAGCGGGGTATCTTCACCAGGCAAGCAACCGTGCTCTCTCAGGCAGAGACAGGAAATAAGGAACTCAACTCTATCTAACAAGGACTCGCGAGTCAAAGCATGAAACTACTACTTGCTACTTGAGTAAAGAGCCGATGGAGTACCAAAAAGGTAGTAGACCCGAACTCAATTACAAGGATCGGATACTTATTCACTTATTGCAACACCGAATTGAGAGTCGACAGATAATAAACTAGGATGAAACTCACCCGACCTCTTCTACCGGCAACAATTCTCTACTCCCCTGCGCTTCTGATAAAACTTCTATTACCTCTCGGAACGGGTGCATTGCTGATAGGCTATTGTCACCAACTACTGAAACTGACTATAAGGGCTCGGCAACACCTTAACTTTCTTTGGAATCTTACTAAACTGCATCCCCTGCCCTGCGGACCCGACACCTCCAATAAGTGCTAATTGCGCCTCTCTCTCCTCAATAGGACTCCATTTCAAAGATACCTGAATGAGGCCTTGATTCTTTGCCTCTCTCTCCTCCGTCAACAAAGAAGGATGAAACTTTACTCTCATCTAACTCTTACTCAAATACAAGACCCAGACCGGATCCTAATCCTGTTTCAGAAACCACTTATACACAAGAACTGACGCGTAAAGGAACTAACTTTAGCCATGAAGACAAGACAGGACAGGACTCTGCAACTTACTATAAGGGCCTCTATAGCAAGCACTTTTAGACCCACCCGGTCGCCAACAACTGTGTAAATTCTATCTTATTATATAATTATAGGAGACTATCTTCATGCCCCAACTAACTCAACAAGAACCAACAACACTAGCACCAACCTATATAGGGGAAAGCCAACCACCAGATGCTGATACGGACACCGAGTCTGGGCCCGATCATGCTTCAACTAATTCTTAAAGAGTAGATGTGGCTTCTATATAAGATGAAAGTCACCCTGGTAGGTAGTTGTAAACAAATACAGTAATTAGTCTAAGCAGGAAGTTTCGAATTGTAGACAGTTGCAAGAGGCGAGCTAGGTTAGGGAGTTGGCAAGCTATGTACCATGTCAGCTATAGGAATCTAAGCTCCAGTGCCAAAAAGAACCACTGTCATTCTATTCTATAAGTTAACGAGTTAGTGAATCTAGCCTTAAAGCTAGGGCAAAGGGCAGGGTCAATTCCTTCTGAAGCGGGAAGTAAAGACAGAAAGACATTAGTAACACCTAAATCTCGGAAAGAGAATGATAAGGCTTTCATCCACCCGTACACTAATGGATTGATTCGATATACACCACTAAGGCAAGGCATCCATACAATGAAGGGCTTTCTCTACTAAATGCATTATTTATCTTATTAGAAGAGTAGTTTACCCCATTGTTAGTTGCTATATATAAGAGTAGTTTAAATGCAATAGATCAGACCCACACATGCATGGTTGGTGAAGAGCACTGGTTGACTTTGATGATGTAGATTTCTTTCAAGTGCGATAAGCCCCTCCGCCATCCTCTGTCCGGGGTAGTCCCCAACTAGCTGTATTGAATAGAGGCACCCGCGGATCTGTTCCCTGTATTTTGAGATAGCAAATAGTTTGATGCGAGGTAGCTAGGGTATCTGCCTTCAACCGGTGCTCCAACTTACTATAAGAGCTGATGCTGGTGGTATCGATTCTCTTTAGCAGTCATCCTATATATAGAGATTCTAAATGAACCGCCAAGACACTCACTGATTCCACTCGGTACTCGGTATTCCACAAGAACACAGAAAGAGACTTGTCATCGGCAAGCGTATACTACTAATACGAGATGAGTTGCGTGTTAGAGAGTTCCGAGCTCACAGTGCATTCTGTATCTGGGAGAAATATGGTACTGGCCGGGCAGCAAGCGTGTCTGCAAGTTGGTTCTGTTCTTTAGGGTAGAGATAGAGCTTTTTAGTTGAACAGAGGCATAGGTCTTACGACTCGAAATTCCATCAGTAAGTCAAAGCAGGAGAACAAGCTGAAACACCTAGATACCTTCATGCTTCATATCTCGAGAAAGTCTCTTCCCTTGTTTGTCGATTCCACTAGAAACGGAACTTGCTACTGGTAGATCAGGATCATCTGCTGTAGCTGGAGCATAATATCTTACAGGTAAGGAAGCGCTAAGTGGTCCAACCCCAAGCATTATATTAAAGGCGGGTATGTAAGTGCAATTACTGGTTTACTTCGGACAAGTCACTTTATAGGGTAGACTGCTTGAGTGTAGGGCGAGTGGAGTCTATGAGAGGGGATTCCTTCTTGTCGAGGAAATACTTGTTCAGGGAAAGAAGAAAGTAGAGGCTTTGAAGCAGAAGAAACTAGTTCAGGATCGGAGTGGGATCGGAGCTCTTCTGTTCTGGTACTAGGCTAATTGACTGACTTGGCGGGTAGGGTGTAATCCTAGAGGTCGGGAATTGTCTTAGAGAATGAAGCTGTTAATCGATTAAGACTAAAGTAAGCAGTCGAGGCACTAGAATTGACCGCCTCGCAAACTAGAATACTATACTGATTGACTTATTGCTCGGGTCGGAGTTGCTAGTTAGGCTAGGCTTAGGCTAGTTTACTGACTTAGTTTACTTACTTAGTTTACTTACTTAGTTTACTGACTTGTTAGGTTAGTTGTAGAATTCTATTACTTACTCGGGTAGTTTACTGACTTACTAGTTGGTTGGGGTAGTAAAGGGATAGGTCATCTGCTTGTGTTAAGCATAGAAGAAATATGGATCCTAAGAGAGCTCCAAAAAACATCTATTGTAATAACTTGTCATATCTATTACCTTGGCTACCGCACAACGTCTTGCGCCGTTGCTTGGTCGGAACATTAGTAGTTCCTTGGCCCCTACTGGCAGACCCATTTTGGATGATGTTTTTCCGTTTTCCCGGGATTTTAGATAGCAAATGTATAAATAGTATGGGACTGAACTTAGGCTTAAACTAGGCATTCCACTTAAACAAGAACAGGAGCTAGACTACATGAAACTAGGGATTCACCAACAACAAGAAAAGTACTACCGGTCTGAAGACTCACACTCTCACAGGACATTCTCTTTTTGCTGCTGACTTAGGCTGCCCTTCACTTTGATACTTGACTCGCTTGCACTGCCTCAGATCGTTCTCTTGCAGATTCCTCTAATGAACTAGTTACAGCTGGCTCTGCTCTAGCTCTAACAGCTTTCTTTTTTACTGCTGACTTCCTTTCAACAGCTTCATCTGCTCCAGGTACTCTCCTTTCTATAGCAACGGATATGGTTTCTTCTCTGACTCTTTCTCTATCTTCTGCTTTTTCTTGAGTTAATGACTTACAGAACCTACTTCTAGCATTTTCATCTTTGACTTTCGCATTAGGAGTTTTTCCAGTATCCAATGGAAAGTAAGGTATCAATCCATTTCCACCCCGGTGACCGGTCCACGTAAGGCACTTAGGGCTAGATCTACCATACATAGCTACCGTTCCGCTGACTTGAAACCCACTTGCCGCCCCCTACTTACTATTTCTAAATGAATTTGAAGCCCGAAACGAACTCTTATAAGTGTTAACCCCGAGCTCATCTAACTCTGTCTCTTTTCCCTCTTTCTCCTTCTCTTGCTTCCTCGCCTGTTCCTACTAAAGAATGGTGTTTACTTTACTTATGACTTGCCTATCATTCTGAGCATCCATTTACTCTATCCGATCTATACTATGTCTATCGATTGTTTATGATAACTCTAACGAGGGCCCTACTCATTAGTACAAGAGTCAACAACCCTACAAGAACGAAGCTGATGAAGTAAGGCTTGGCAATGGATAGATAATATAGGGCTGGGGCTGCTACTGCTTAGTTGCTTGGTCGGATAGGAAAGGAATCAGAATCAAAGTATTTCAACGGTATGCTTCTAGGGGACAGGAGAGTATTAGTACTAATAGAGATAGGGAGTCTAACCTAGGTCAGTATAAGACCAATAGTTATTGATTGTCATGATCTAGGGCATTCTAAGACCTGGTGGTAACAACAAGGCGTAACCCTAAAGAACTCAATATCAATTACCATTAGTATAATAATGACCATTATCAGCAGGATAAGAATCAGAATGCGAACACTAAGCCTTAAGCACAGAAGCTGGCGATAGTAGGAGCTCTAGTTGGGAGCGGTAGATTAATCAAAGTTCACTACAGACTCCGGGGCATTAGTGGAAGTTTGAGAAGACACTAGCTCTATTGTTGCTATATAGGTATTTGTACTCCTTTTAGTGGTTTAGAGCCTTATAGTTAGTATCGGATTTACTCATTAGTAGAACGGGAGACAGGGATATTAGTTTCAAAGCAAAGAAGAGCAGACAAATAGGCAGTTGTGTTAGTTTGATCAGTGCTTAGTTTCATTCCTTTTTTGGATTTCTCTTATGAAAATAGTAGCTAAGTGAGTTTCAAACAGTGGAGCTAGGATCGGATCTTAATCCGCAGTTAAACCCTATTTCTCCCTTTGAGTCTTATAAGCAGAGTAGTAGTAGCCCCTTGTTATCAGTAGTGGAGCTCCTTATTACAATAACCAGTATGATAAGCACTCTGTACACTCTTTCTAGTAGTGGGTTCAGTCTCGTTAGTCTGGATTTTTTCCTCTTACGCTCGAGTGCAATTCCAATAGTGGGTGCTTTTTGGGCAGTAATATAAGTTTTCTAGTGAGTAGTGCCCTGGTTACTTAAAACTCCGTGAATCAAAGTAGCAATAAGAAATACAAGTCGTGAAGTTTCAGAATGCAAATACAGAAGAGATAACTCATAAGTCATAGTATCAATCAGTATTTGTATATAAGTTATAGTATCCGTAGTAATTAGTATTAGAATGAATGAAAGAAGTAAGGAATACCAGCTACGGTTGCTTGCCTAATAAGGAAACAATACATAAAACAACTTAATAAGCCCACATTATAAGTCAATTATGATAAGTAAGAAAATAACATAGAAGTAAGGCTTTGGACCTGCACTTATAAGGCTTTAACTCCTAATAGGGGGTGCTAACAGACAAGTAACTGTTGCTAACAAGGATAAAGCAATAAACTGGGAATGAAAGCGACTCCACACTATCAAACGAACTGACCATACTAAACCTAAACACTAGGGATGGGGCTCCCACACTTAGGAATGGAATTCCACTCAAAAGTATAAGACCTAACCGCATAAGCTAGCCTGCTCCTCATCTCCCATATCTGTATTTGTCTCGGGCACTCCTGCTTTGCTTAATCCATCGATATAGATCTTTGCTCTAAACCTATAACTGCTAGGATCGGTTGTGAGCCTATATCTCTTTGCTTGAAAACCTTATCTATGCTTTGCTTCCTCTACAGCGTTCCTTGATTCTTAGTTGAAAGTTGAGTTATTTATCCCTTGTTTCATTGCCTGGAAAGCTAGGGGAAGTAATGGCATCAGAATCATATGTTGCACAGGAAACGCATGCTAGGTTCAGTAAGAGCATAAGAAGAATCAAATACTTAGCTCTCCTTGCCTAGATCGTAAGTCTTGTAGTCTAGTCCGGTAAACTACATTATGGAATTCTGATCCCTCGCCCAATGAGCGAGACAAAAGAAGCTACTCTCGGTGAATGAGCGATGACACTTTCCCTTAGCTACAATAATATTAGTGGTACTGCGCAGCTTTAATGATGAGTTGATGACCGCTCACAGAATCTGTTATGTTGTTTAAAGAGTCAGTCCCCGGTCTGGTTTAAAGAGTTAGTCCCCGGGTGATGTCCAATTGCCCACAAAAGACTGAGTTGATGCTACCTAAATGAAAGAATTCGCTGTTCACATACACTTTCCGAATTAAGTGCATGCGCTCAATCTCCTTGTTTGTTTCTCACGTCTGTTGGTTATGTGGTGAGTACGTCGACCTTGACCACGTATTGAGAATATGTTTTCATATAATAATAATGAGAAAATCCATATCCATATTCTAATGGTAAAACACATTCCAATAGTATATTAAGGAATACCAATAAAAGATGGAATGACAGCAACGAGATGAAGTTTGAATCAAATCAATAGGTAGGGAAATGCAGCTAATGAACGGAGGGCTCACAGTAGGGCGCTAACTCCAACTAAAGAATGCAAATAGGTAGTGTCGGTTTGAGAGCTCTATTCAAGATATGCGTCGTTAGGGTGTATTGGTAGAGTTCAAGTAAAGAGTCAGTCGTGTTATCAATGTCGATTTCCTACCTAAATGGTTGATTACCACCTCGGAACAAAGCCTCATTAACAATAGTGTCATTCTTTCTATCAGTGGTGTCGAGCCCATCATTCTTTCTATCAGTGGTGTCGAGCCCAAGTCCTGTGTTCGTCACCTAGTTGTTGACTTGCCTAGTAGCTTGGCCCTTTCTTTACTTTGAATCGACTACAGGCTCTTTATTACCTGCGCCACCAACCAATACCTTTCATTGAAAACTCCATATTAGATTCCTGTCGACCGAGATACTCCATTACTACTGGATACTTTCTTCTTCCCCGAAAGACTATTCCCTCAATATAAGTTGTGGTAACTATAATCTACTCTTAGTATTATTCCGAAGTCAAAGTATCCTTACCGGGGAACTCTCCTCTTCTTACCATGTGTCTCAACACCAACACTTCAAACAGCCATTCCCGACCTCAGATCTGGCTTGTTAGCTTCCCCTCCTCGACTTAGGTCTTACGCTCCTGTCTTGGGGAATCCAACTCATAATACAGATTTCACTAAAGAAGTCAAAGCATGAAACGCTGCCTCTAACCATTAGTCTGACCCCTAACTACTAGCATTCCTTGAGAAGTATCCTTCTAGCCCAACCCAAGCTATGTTCCACGAGCCCGAGCCATCCCATACACCTTTGATTCTTTAATAAGGGTATGATATACAGCGCACCAAAGGAATAGAATAAAACAAGGTAGTAAGATCATTTCAATCGACAATACAAGAAGTCAACTAACAAGTCAGAAGTAAACAAATACGAATAAGGATACCAGGCTAGGTTAACTAATAGAAGTAGAGGAATGGCATATCACCCCCAGAAGTAGAAGAATGGCATATCACACACAACTGGAAGAATGAAACTCACCCCAAAGGATATAAGGATTTGCGCTAAGAACTAGCACTTGAGAACTAGCAAACCCCACTACGGCTAATAAGACTTAAAGACATAGTTCGGTAGCTCCAAACGG